GTGTTGAAGATTAATTAGTTTTATGATGTTTTTCTGAGTAGATGTTTTATGTTAGTTGTTAGATAGGAGGTGGGGACCACAGTAGTTATGTGAGTCCAAATTTTATTATGTTTTTGAGTGTTATATATGCTGTTATATGTTTTGCTGCCCTATAAGGGCATAGTTGTCTTTGTACTGTTCTATTATTTTAGTATAAATAATAAGTGAATGGGGCGGCCAGATTATTGCTATCTTTTCTTTTCAACTTATCTTCTTCTTCTTCTTCTTCTCTCTTCAAGAAACTACTTTCTTTCATTTTTTTTTTAATTCAGCAGATTCCTACTCAAAGCAACTGCAGAGTTTTCAGCATCTACTTGGTCACACATAGACATACTTTTATATATTGACTTTGAATCTGTTCTCTTTTTTATGCCCTGGTTTCAGATTAGCTGAGAGAATAATTCTTGAGTCTCTGAAGATAGAAGACCTCATTCTTGGGTATTTTCTCCAGAAATGCATTTTCATATAGTTGCAACAAGATGGTAAATGGATTTAATAATCCAACTCTTTTTCTGTGCACATTTATCCCAGTGATGTTGATGACATGATGGTTGAAAGATTGGGTGCTGTTTTCATGCCCCATGGTTTGGGACATTTTTTGGGCATTGATACGCATGATCCCGGAGGCTATGCTAAGGTCTTTGGTGTTAATTTAGCTATATTTGGTTTTATTTTTAATTTTTTATAACCTTTTGACATGGAGATTCTGTACCAGAGAACTCTTGTATTTAACATTTTTCTCTACACTAATGTTTTACATGTCTAGCAGGGAATGGAAAGGCCAAAAGAACCAGGTTTAAAGGCTTTGCGCACAATTAGAGAACTCCAAGAGGGCATGGTTAGTAATAGGCCAATGTCTTTGCACTTTCACCTCCAAAATTCTAACTAGTATTGGGACATTAGGAGTATGTAGAAAGCTGCGTATTCATGTACATGTAAAATGAATGCCTAGATCCCATGTACATGTTCCAAGAAAAGGGAAATTACCAACAAGCAAACATGTTTGGGACTCGAAAGGCTAGAAAGAATACACTGTAGTTGTTGCTGTCACTAAATGCATTCTGATGATTGTCAAAGGAAGATTTTACTGTAGTTGTCTGGTTTCTTTTAGGATAGAGCTCAATTAAAAAGTTGCAGCATTATGGAACGGTCCTTGAATTTTCCTTGCTTATTCATAGGCCCTAGCAATAAGGAACTCATAGGTGTCTCTATAAATGATTTACAAAGAATTCTTTTAGAGATTCTTACCTTTGCCTGACCTTCTTTCCAGACTCCATAGTCCTTTTTCTTGTCATGAAAGGTGATTTCTTTGAGCCTTATGGGATGGTGCCTTGCTTTGTTGCCATATTAAAATTGGTTGCATATTCCTTTTTCTTTATCTTTCTACTTTTTTATTCAATAAATGGAAAAAGAATCTGATGGCGGCTACTAATGTTTACTCAATTAAGCCTTACACTGACCATTTGTTGTTGGATACAGAAATCCTACTTCAGCATACTTCTTAGGGTGTGGGTAATGTTCTTCAGTGCAGATGACCAAACCATATCATTTAACTAAACCACTGTCTTAATAATTGACACTTTCTATTCCCTTATTATCTTACTATCCTTCCCAAAATCATCATGCAAGAAAAGAGCCTGTCATCTGTGATGCAAAAATTGAAAATGCAGCAACATATTCATTATGAATAATAGCTATTCGATACCATATTCTAGACTACAACATTCTTGGAGTTGCAATTAATGCTATCTAATTCTTTTTTCATTTTAATAACCATGCAAGGAATGTGTGCAACAACACATAAAATATGTGGAAAACATACTTAAGAAATTTTATGCTACAGGTGATAACCGTCGAGCCTGGATGCTACTTCATTGATGCTCTACTGGATCCAGCCATGCAGAGTTCAAATACATCAAAATTCTTCAATCAAGAGAAAATTAGCAGATTTAAAAGCTTTGGTGGAGTCCGAATTGAAAGTGATGTGGTATGGCTTCTGTTAAACTTTTATTAATCATAAAAGATCGATAAAGTCTAATACTGTAGACTCTGTAGTATCATTTCCTGCAATACTGTGTACAAAATAAATCAATCCCACACATTAACATGTTCATCTTCAATGGCCAGTTTGTCATGCATGTTTTATGGTGGAGACCACATGCTTATATGTATTAGGTGGGCTTGACTCTGCATTACTATTTGTACTGTTACCAATTTATCATTAATTGATTAATTGAAGTGATGTAAGATCCAAGGCTGTATTGATTACAAATTTGAGGGAAAATTGGAAATTTGAAATTAAATAATATTTTTGAGGGATTAATCCGAAAATTTGGTTTGTGGAACGTGTTTAGGGAAGGTAGAGGAGGGTTTATCTAGGGCTATAGAATTGTATGATTTAATTAGGAATCTAGTTTAGGGCTTTTGGAGGAAGTTCTAGAAAGAAAACAAGTCATTATCCAATGTACTTTGTACTAGCTATCTGGAGTATTGAGAGGGATGGACTGGATAAAGACCTAATGTTTGACATTATTTATCAAAAAAAATAAAATAAAATAAAAAGACCTAACCTTTGACATTTTTTTAGCACAAAGTGGCCACTTTCAGACTAAAATCTGCATTCTCATGTTTGTCAGCCAAAGAATTTATGTTTCACAAGCAATGGCTCCTGATTTCTAGAGAGGAAATTTTCAATATCTCATGATTGGAATAGAATTTTTCATACTGCTTTAAATGAGTGTTTAGGGTGGTAAACTAAAGGAGGGGGTTGAAGTTGGAGGGGTTCTGAAATGGTTTGTCACAAAAGGACAAGAGTTGTCGAAATTAGGAACTCTCAAGAACAAGGGTTTTTAGAGGGAAGTTTTGAAAACTGTTTTAATGGGATGAAAAGAGACCTAAAATATGGAGGATGACTTAATAAATCACCAAGGCTTAATAGGGATGGTTTACAGAGAGAAGTTTCTCTTTCTTAAGAAAGTTGTGAAAGTTGACAACAAAGAAAATTGAGAGAAGACTTTTTCTTAGAGTTAGAGCAGGATGGGAAAAATGGATGAGTGCATGCAGAACCTATTTGATAGTAACACCACTTAGGCTAAAAGGAAAATTTTGTGTTGTGCAGTCAAGAAACAAAATTTCTAAAAACGAGTGTAGCAGAAATGTGATTATTGTGAAGGATCACTGGGAAAACTAGAAGGATAAGATCCGAACTGACTTTATCATGCGACTTATCGTGCATGTGGCAGTGATATGGTTTGTAGTTTTATATAAAAGAGAGCTGATGACTTAATTTAGTAGTGTTGCAAATGTTTTTCTTTATTTTTTTAATTTGTATGTGTATGTGTTTATTACCAATAAATGTGGTAAACGATCATACAATATTTGTGCATATTATTGGCTTATTGCAATTGTAAATATATGGGGATCGCACACCGATCAAGTAAAGCTTCCAGTCAAGGTACATTTTTCCTTATGCTGTGTTTGATTTGAAGGAAAAACTAGGGAAACCTTTACAAATCCCTACATTTCCCTTCCTTTCCCTACTTTTTCCTTCAAACTAAACGCAGCCTTGGAATGTTCTTGTTATTCTCGTTGCAAAGAGGTCTGTCTAAGCTAGGGATAATGCTATTTTTTGTGCTTTTGTTTATCAATTTTTTTGCTTGGTTCTTATATTCATACAAAGCCTGCAGGATATTTATTTTTTCCTCAAGGTACCAAAGAGAAAATGACATCTGAGCATCTGCTGTTATTTGCTTCAGTGATCCAACCAATTTATTTTGTCTTTTTGGTATTTGCCAGTATGTTACTTGTAATGGCTGCAAAAATCTCACCAAGTGTCCCCGGGAGACATGGGAAATTGAAGCTGTGATGGCCGGTGCACCATGGCCACTGGACAAGATACCTGCCCATACAGATAACACGAGAGGGCGTTGAGTAATGTCATGCTTCATTTAAGTGGTGTGTGCTAATAAATCTGTGGTGGCTACTGGTCCTTTGATTTGTCTCTAACATATTGTATTTCCCTGTTAGTAACTGCTGTTAAATTTATCAATTTTATTGGATAACATTGGAAAGATGAATGTAGTTAACTCACTGCAAGACGGGCGGAGCCAGGGGGGACCCAGGGGAGCCATGGCCTCCCTATGGTTTAGAAAATCTCCATTGTATTACAGCCACTCTTTTCAAAACCGGACTGGACTGGACGGTCGGACTGGAAAAACCAGACTGGTTCCGTTTTCCTCCAAAACTGCTTTTTCCCCCAAAACCGTTGATTTTGGTCAGTAAATCGCTGAACCGGCCGCTTCACTTCGAAAGGTTTTGATCGTTTTCCAATTTTTTATTTTTTATTTTATTTTTGTCAGAACGGGCCGATCGTTTAGGTTGAACGGTCGGATCGTTCAAACCAGTAACCGGACCCTGACCGGTTCGTTTTTAAAAACCATGATTACAGCTTTTTATGTAAAATTTCCCCTCCCCCCACTCTCCAACTCAATGGTTGCCCCCCTCCCCCTATGGGTCCATCCGTACTTCATTTAGGTTTTGGCCTCCTTTGTAAAAATTTCCTGGCTCCCTCCCCTACTGCAAGATGTCTAGTTCTATGCATCTGAAAGCTGAAATCATTGGTTATTCCATTGATCAAATAATTGCAAACTCACATCTTTGTTCCTGTTTGAACCTTATTCCAATTTTCTTTGCCCTTTGGGTACACGACCTTTTTCTGTTCATAGTTGATTAGTTTCATTCGATAGCCAAGTAGAAGAGGATAAAACTAAACCGGAAGTCGTGACAGAAAGGGGAGCCATAACCGGAAAACACAATCAAGGAAGGAGCCAACACCTGCAGACCCTTCAACCCAATACACTGTTCGTTATCGTTAAAGCGTACTTACTATTTAGTCTAAAAAACTTTTCAATCTGATTTGACTTGGATTTATTTTTATGGCCCAAGGGAACCCCACATGTTGAACAAAATCTTTCTCATGGCTTTATTGTTTATAATGCTATATTAAGCAGATATTTGACTTGGGTTCTTTGCAGGGAATAAAAATTAAATCCAAAAACCATATCTTATATGATTAATACTTGTAAACCTGATTAAGTGAGCAGTTTTTGAATGATTATAAATGTGCGGTTTCTGAAGTGAGAGTAAAGGATATATATATTCCCTCTTTGTGCCCATTATATGTTTAGATAGGAGGGGTGGAAAATGTCCAGTGAAAATTCTAAAAAAAAAAAACAGAATTCGTTCTTTTACGGTAGTATAGATATAGATATATTTGAAGAAGAGATGATGAATTGACAGACTTGTAAATATTGGTTTTTTCTTTTTGATGTGGCAATTATTTTTGTTTTGAGAAACAAGACTATTCATGTTGGGCAAATACCATCTAAACTGTACACAAGCTTTTTCTGATTGTTTTTCTTGCAAATTTTAAAAACAAATAAAAACGGTCTGGTTTGAAACAAATTGGTTCTTACAACAAAAACATAGAATATGTTTTCACTCACATTAGTCGCATATGATTTTTTTTTGTTTCCAAAACTGAAACAACAAAATGCATTTGAATTTTTTCTTAAAATAAAACCAACATCTTTGCTTCTGAAAAGTGAAAACAAAATTATAGTCGGATAACATGTTGTAGAACACCCCTTTAATGTACTGAACTATTCTTCTGTCTAATTCTTGCGTGGTTATTGATTCCTCACTCTCTTGTTGTTTCTCTTGTTGTAAGGTGCTCTAAGGTGTCCCTTGGCTACCAAAGGATGGCAGTCAGGCAGTAGCCTTATGGGTTTGCTGTATGGGTGACATCCCACACCAGCTGCTGATATGACATACACTTAAGACATATTCCTCCTTTTTAACCTCAACTTCTCAGTGCTGCGCAACAGGGAGTGCTCCTCCCCAGAGTCCCAGACCCAGTAGTAGGAGTTCACATCTGTGCTCCACAATGCCCTACAGCAATTGGAGTTCACATCTGCGCTCCACAATGCCCCACAGCACATCCTGGCCTTGTATTGGAAATATCTCCCAATGATAGTTCGGAAAATGATAAGACATCATAAAAAGATGTTCTCAATATAAAGTCGGGATGTGCTGTGGGGCATTGTGGGGCGCAGATGTGAACTCTAGTGGTAGGCAACTTCGTTACTTCGTTGCTGCGATCATGGCTTTCACGCTGGTTTGTAGAATGGCATGCAGAGACAGCGTTTTTAGGAGATTTGCGCAACTCTTAATTCTTTTGTCCAGTTCATTTGCATCTCTTCGTTTCTATTTGTTTCTTGAATGTTAATAATTCGTTTGTCTATCTGTATCTGTGTGTCTGTTCAATCTTCTAGGTGTCGGTCTCAGCATGAAATTAACAATCTTCGCCACTTGTTTCTCGTACTATAATTTATTTCATTTTTTTTGTTGATTTCTATTTCAGTTCCCTAACATAATTTAGAGTATTTTATCTAAAGGTGCAAGCTTCAGGTCCATTCAGTTAAATGGCTGTATCATCCCTTCTGAACATGTAGCACATATGCCCCTCGCTAGTATTGCTGTGTTTGGTTTGATGGGAAAGGAAGGGAAATGTAAGGAAACCTTTATAAGTATTATATAGATTTTCTTATATTTCCCTTTCTTTCCCTACATTTTCCTTCAAACCAAACATAGCCTAAAGGAAGGAGCTAGTTTCCTCAATATTTATTTGAAGTCTTATTTTTTAATAATTTTTATAGTTAAGATTTATCTATAAAACGAGAAAAGACAAAATGGATGCTCTTTTGAGATATTGCTAAATTAAACTGTTTTTGTTGTTTGGAATTTGAAATTAATCAATCTCTAATAAAAATTATAAACTTTAAGCTTATAAGATTATTAAAAATGAAAATTTTCAATGAGATTTTATCTAAGCGGAATGCTAATCTTGCACACTTAAAAGAACATTGGCCCTTACAACACCTTCCAAGTGAGAGCCCTCCATATTGTTGAGTTAGAGAGGGCATGACTTAAAAGCAAAAATCGTGTATATGCCTAGAGAGCATGTTATTTGTATGTACATTTGAAATATTTTCCATGCTTGTTTTTTTTTTTTAAATCTAAAGGAAGATATTCTCAATATGCGGTTGGATGCTATACTCCTAGGGTATTCAGGAGAGGGAAAAAAATTGAAAATTTTAAATTGTAGGTAGACAGCAGATGATATGGCCACACCTATTGAGAGATGATGAATAAAGGCAAAATCTACAATTGTTCTACAAACTAGAAAAACAAAAGGCCTTGAACTAATGATAAAGTAATGCATCAAATTTGAACCTATAACCATTGTTAAGGCTTAGTTTCAAAGGAATACAAATACAAATATGTAGAGTGCAAAATCTTATATTTTGTATTAAACCTTGAATTTGTACTCCTTGTAAAATATAAGGCCATGTTTGGTGGTACTTCATATTTTGTATTTTCAACATCACTAAAGTATAAAATATATGGTATATTTTTAATTTGCACTTTTATTTTAAAATTTGTTTGGATAGAAATTTTTCAAAAATATGTTTTTCAAAGTAAAGGTAAATGATAGTGTTTATATACAATAAAATATTTTATACGTGTGCATGCCACGCAATAAAATGTTATACATATATATATATATATATATATGGATGCCACGTGGCATTTGAATATAAGTCAATAATTTGGATATGTCATGTGACATCACATATGAATTCCATGTGGCATTTGAATATGAGCCATTGACATGTAGATGCCACATGACATCATATATGAATGCCATGTGGCATTTTAATATTGGTCATTGACATGTAGATGCCACATGGCATTCAAAGGTAAGTCAATGGTATTACATGTCATGTGGTAGCATAGATGAATGTTACGTGACATACAATTGTTATTAATTATGTTTAGATGCCACTATATATATGCCATGTGGCATCATATATAGAAGCCACATGGCATTTGAATGTTGGATTGATGAATGTGGATGTCACGTGGCAGCATAAATGAATGTGCTACATGGCACTTAAAGGTAAATTAGCAATAATGCATGTCACGTGTCATTGAATATATTAATGTGCCTATATTTTCACGTGACATTTGTATAAAACATCACATGTGTGGATGATGCACACATTTTAAAAAGTATAAAATATGTTAAAGGGCCAAATAATATGAAGTATCAAAAGTTGATGATACACACATTTTAAAAAGTATAAAATATGTCAAATGGCCAAAAATATGAAGTATCAAAAGTTGATTTCGGGATTTTCATGCTTTTTGTACTTTTATTTCATATTTTTTACAAATAAAAAACACCCAAACAAATGTGTTATGGTAAAAAGTATGAAAAGTACTTTAAAAAATACCACCAAATAGGACCTAAACCAATAAAAAGTAAATGGACCATATGACCAAGGATTTAAATATCGATACGATACATCTGATACGAGGCATATTTTATCGGTATCGAATTAGGGCGATGCAGGATACGTTACAAACATGATTTAAACCTGGAACACCACGCGCATGGCGCCAAAAGCCTTAAACTCTCCGTTAAACCACTTGACCATGCCATGCATTATGATATTTAATGAAATAACATAATTTTTATTAATGTCTATCCAAATAAATAATCAGTATTTATGCTTAACAACCCTAATTAAAAATTAAAATAAATAATATTTAAAATTAATATTTTATAAACAAATGGAATAAATAATCTATCAATTCTATATTTACATCAAAAGGAGTACCAAAAAAAATAATAATATTTACACATGGGCTTGCTAACCAGAAAAGAGTCTAGATCTACTCCCCATACAAATGTACTTAACATCAGCCTCATAGACACATCCCGCCATGTATTGGGAACATCTTCCATACTTGTGTTATTATTCATGCGAGATGTTTCTAATGCAAGGTGGAATGTGCATGTGAGGTCGGTCTGAGGTGCACTGGGTGAGTAACAGATCCCAATTCACCAAAAAAACAAGAAAAAAAGGGAGGTTTTCTCTCACCACACGAGTTCAGTTTTGCTCAGAGAAAACATTCCTTTTGGCTTAGTTTGGAAGGAGTACAAATGCAAATATATACAATGCAAATACATACAAAATAATACAAATTAGATGGTTTTGTACTCCTTCCAAAGCCTTTATGTTTGGTTTGAAGGAAAAAGGTATGGAAAGGAAAGGAAAGGTAAGGGAACCTTTACAAACCTTGTATACAATCTATATATTTCCCTATTTTCCCTTTCCTTTCCCTATCTTTTCCTTGAAACCAAACCTGGCCAGAAAAATATGTTACAGCCAAACATGGGCTTCTTAGAGTTTAGACTAGTGGTGATCATGGGCTGGGATTTGCACTTATGATAAGGGCTATAGCTTAGGCCCGGGCCTGGCTCAACCTGGGATTCTAGGCCTAAAACATAAGCCCTAGCCTAGGTCTATACGGTACTAATCCAGGCCAGGCCTGATTCCGGGCCAATGTCACTCATATATAAAACATTACATATCTATATATTAAATGATATAACATGCATATAAACTTATTTTATATATTATATAATATAAAATATTACATATAATATAAATTATACATGTCATCTTATAATATTTATATATAAAATATATAATATAATGTAAAATAACATGTATATATATGTATACATTATACACAAAATGTGTAAGTTTAAATATATGCAAACTGGGTTGAGCTTGAAGTATTAAGCCCAAGTCCGGCCCTAAAATTTACGGGCCTTATGTAGATTCGGCCCTGAACACAAAATCGAGGCCCAAACCTAGAATTTTCGGGCTGGGCTGAAATGATCACCCCTAGTTTAGATGGTGGGGGTATTAGTCATCTTATTCACCGATTTGATAGGATTGCCACCGCCAGAAGAATATGTTATAGATGGTGGGGGTATTTGCCACGTCATCCATTATTGTATGTATTCGGTATTCCCTTCAAGTTCACATCTCTATCAGGACCGTCCCACAGCACATTCCTGCCGTATATTGAGAACATCTCCCGATGATGGTCTCATTCCCTTACCTCATGTCTCTCTTAGCCACGTCATTCAGTTTTGATCACCGAAAAGGAGCGCCAATAGGCCAATAGGGTGCAAGTCGCACCAAAAAACATAAAAACGAAAATCCGGGTTTAATAAGATTGTTTCTTTGATGCTCTCCTGTTGGTGGTTTGATGCCCTAAATTCCTCTTTGTTGGTATAAACTATTTAAGGACCAGCCTTCGAAGCGAAGCAAAAGCGTACGTGTAGTTCTGCGATCCGGCACTTGATAGGAAAACCCTAATTTGAGCAGCGAAAAATAGATGGGTCGGCGAAAGAACAGTAACAAGAGTTCTACGAGCAACAACAATAACAGCAGTACCAACTTCGACCACCAAGTCACGAACATGAGTGTGGACGATGGAGATTTTGAAGAGACGATGGAGAGTTCGGTATTCGATGACTCCATCTCTGAGCCCGACGAGACACTCCTCGGTAGCGACCAGACCAGTGCGGACTATTACTTCGATTCCTACTCTCACTTTGGTAATTTGTTCTTCCTCCCCTTCGCTTATTGGTGTGCTGCTACTGGCTTTGCTTCGGATTGGTGGTTTTCCTTGATTCTGAATATGTACGCTTTTTTCCCGCTTGAGTGAAACATGAGTGTGCTTTTTTCATTTAATTTGAATCTGAATCTTTACCCCTTTTCCTTGCTATATGACTATGCAAAATTTTCTCCACACTATTAAGCATCGACTCCTAGGATTCTTTTCCTAAGAAGCTATATTGTTTGCATCATTCCGTAGAGTGACTGATTTTGGTGCTACTGCCAATAGTGCTTATTTCATCTTACTTATTACTTTTATTACTTCTGAGAAGAGCTAATGTTCTTTTCATTCGTTTTCTTGTTTGCAGGTATTCATGAAGTAAGTCTTACCACATTCTGATGTAAATTTGGTAAACCTATCTGGTCACGAGTAATAAAAATGCATAATGGAGTTCAAACGTTGTGAGGACTGGATGCATTGAGGGACGGTTTTAAACTTGATTAAGATGCTATCAGTTTTTAGTTTTTGAAAGTGTTTATTTGCAAACCGTGCTTGGGATAAAGTTACAACGGCTATCAGTGGTTCCTTTGGCGTACTAGGAGGGTGTTCTTTCTTTATATTATTTACAATGTCTATGATTTTCTCCAAATAAGTTGGTTCATCTTTCCAAAATCACTAGGGGCTCTTTTGTCTTCTTGACCAACTCTGCATCCTCTATGTTAAGCGAAGGTGCTTCGGTGTCTATTTTTTAGCCTTTGGGGTTATCAAATAAAAAAAAAAGCCTTTGGGGTAGTGAAGCAGAACTCTTCAAAGTCCTGAGCGAGAATTCTCTCTGATTGTATGGCATTGTTCCATGCAGGAAATGTTGAAAGATACTGTAAGGACAAAGACATATCAAAATGTTATTTACCAGAATACCTTCCTCTTTCGGAATAAAGTAGTCCTTGATGTTGGAGCTGGAACTGGAATTTTGTCCCTTTTCTGTGCAAAAGCAGGAGCAAAGCATGTATATGCGGTAGGTAATTCTTCAATACTGATACCTAAATCAAGTTTTTCTCATGTTTTTCTTATTTGATAAGCTGCAATGATAATTTTTCCTTTTTGGCATTTTCGAATTTTTATTCATTCAAATTTTCTTTTGGTATGAGCCTTTAAGTCATTTATATTTGTAGGATATGAGAAGGACACCCATATTCTGTTTTATATTCTAAACAATAAATATAATGAAACAATGGATGGAAGGATCCCAGCTCTCTCTCTCTCTCTAGGATTCATTAAAATGCAGCCAATGGAAGAATTAAAGATATTGCCCAATGTTACCAGTTAAAAAAGACATTGTTGAAAGGAGAATTTATGAAAGCTTTGTACTTGTGGCTTTTAAAAAATATAGTTCATGGCTTTCTTCATATATACTGATGCTATTTCATGCTTTCCTCTCTCTAATGGACAACCTAGTTAATGAGAGTAGAGAGAATTTTTTGTATATTGAAAATTTAGTCCTTGGTTTGTTTGAGTGTGGGGCTTTAATGATATCCTTTCTTCCATATATCATACGTGTTCTTTTTGTTTATTAATTTAAAAAAAAAATGTAAAACATGAGGAAAAGGAAAGAGAACCTCAGATAAAGACTGGAGAAAAGCTGAAATTTACATATGAGCCATGAGGCAATGGGAACTTGGGAAGGGATAAATGTAGTTTTATGATGCTCTTTTTTTTGGCTACAGTTGTAGTTCTGTCATTGGATGACCTAGGGCTATGGAGAATAAGATGTTTGCAATGCCTTCATTTGTAGAAATTTTAGTTTTTATATTAGTTGAAAAGAAATTTTCAAGGATTTCAAGTCAAAAACATCCTTTAATTTTCGTCTTTTTTCTGTTTTATTATCAGCATTTAATGATTCTAGATGGTTACTTAACATTAGACCTGTTCATGGGCTGGGATTTGGGCTCAGATTTACACTGTTTTGGGCAAGGTCTTCAGGCTGGGCCCATTTAGATTTTGGCAAAAGCTAAACCCAAGCCTGGTCCATGAACAGGTCTACTTAGCTGTGATATTGTGTGCATTGGATCCTTATAAAGATGCTAAGAAGGCAGGAAGTTGGGAGTCAATCCCAAGTCTCTCCTACATCCAGCCAAAGATCCTTCTGTGTCATTTGGCACCTTCATTTTAAGTGCATATATTTATTGGTGGCTTTGGTTTTTAAATGTTAAAAATTGTAAGCGGTAGTGATCCTTCTGCAAATATTTTGTTAAAATTGTAAGTGGGAGTGATCCTTATGCATATATTTTAAGTGCCTACATTTATTTGTCTTTTGTTGAAACAGTACTACTTGTGATAATAATAACAGCATTTTTTTATTGAAATAGAAATAATACTGTGACATGTTCTGCACTTGATTCTGTTGGCAAGTGATTTATCTTTCTTCTTTGGTTTTGGTGTGGTAATATTTTCATTTTGTTTGTGTAATTAGTTAATTATTGAGCTAACAACTTCTATTATTGCAGATTGAATGCTCTCATATGGCAGACATGGCAAAGGAGATTGTTAAAGCAAATGGGTTTTCAAATGGTGATTATCTTCCATGTAGTTGGTTGTATAAACAAGCTAAACACTAATGTTCATTCATTACTTTATTGAAATTTCCTCTTCTTTTTGTTAATTCGCCATTCTGCTCCTACAGTTATAACAGTTTTAAAGGGAAAAGTTGAAGAGATTGTACTTCCAATCGCTAAAGTGGATGTCATCATTTCAGAGTGGATGGGCTATTTTCTTTTGTTTGAGAATATGTTAAATACAGTGCTGTATGCACGTGACAAGTGGCTTGTAAGTTGTACATTTACATCCCATTAGTATTTCCTAGTGCGATAAGGGTTTTACTTTTTCCCTTAGAGTATCCAAATGGGACTTTTGATCTTATTGTTTGTCCAAAAAAGAAAAATGAAAAAAAAACAGAAAAAGATGTCTAGCTGCTGCTTCTGTATATCTCTTTGGTTGTGTGCATTCACCACCTTAGAATACTTCTTTCCATAATTTTTGTCCAAGATATTGAATGTTTCTCTTAGTATATTTACTATAACATTTTGGTAATGACCCTTTTATTTACCATAACTTTTGTCCAAGATGTTGAATCAACTTATAAGTGAAGAAAATGAAATATTCCCATATATATATATATATTTAATACTACATCCAAGTTCTGCTAAATTTTATAGTTCTATATTTAGCTGAAGCTTCCCTATTGAATGTTGTATGTGTGCTTGTGCCAGTTTACTGTGCTACCTTATTGAAAGCCATGTCATTTATTGTTTTTACCAATATGCTAAGTGGCCTTCCATTGCCTCTCTAATATGCAAGTTTATATTAATGATTGATACTAATACAATATATAGGTAAAGGGATTTTTTTTATTTATTTTACTATGATCAATGAAAAAAGAAAATAAAAAAGCATGGTTCCTTTGTTCTTGATTACGTCACAACATTGATAAAGAAGTACTGTCATTAATTGGAACCCTAACAATTATATTGTCTATATTATTTTTTGATGATTCAATTATATTGTCTATGTTGTCAAGTTAATGACATGAACAATGAATAATGGATAAAAGTGGGATAAAAAGCCTTTGATTTCTTGTCTTTGCTTTTACATGGGGGCCATTGATTTGATGCATGTTCTAGGATGACAGTGGTTGGTTTGGCTTCTCTGATATACATTTTTGTTTGCACATAGATTAACGATGGAATTGTGCTACCAGACAGAGCTTCCCTATATTTGACTGCAATAGAGGATGCTGAGTATAAAGAAGACAAAATTGATTGTGAGTTAACTTGTTTGTATTGGAAGGTTTGTGTGTATGTGCACGTGTGCGTGCATGCATGTTCATGCTTGTGCAGGTGCATGCATATCCTCATGCCAGTCATGATTACGTTTTGTTGACCATGTTAATGCCATAATTGTTTTTTTTTTTCAGTTTTTGTGGAGGTGCAAACTGTTTTACCATTATAGCAATTTTCTACTGTACATGGCTACACTTTTACACTTTTTGTTATTGCCTAATTATTGTTTTATTACTTTCCAGTCTGGAACAATGTGTATGGATTTAACATGGCATGCATCAGGAAGCAATCCATGATGGAACCTCTTGTAGATACAGTTGACCAGAACCAGATTGTTACAAACTGCCAGTTGCTCAAGGTGGTAAACATATTTTGTTACCTTTCCAAAGTCATTGTACTTCTGCCTGACCTGACAGTTGCTTTCCTTGATTCAGACAATGGATATATCAAAGATGGCTCCTGGGGATGCATCCTTTACCGCCCCATTTAAACTGGTTGCTGAGCGCAACGATTTTATCCATGCTCTTGTTGCATACTTTGATGTTACATTTACGAAGTGTCACAAGTTGACTGGCTTCTCTACAGGTTCTTTTTTTCTCCCTCTCTTAAGCTCAGCATTACTGTCAAGGTGAAAAGGCGAAGCTAGGGGACGCAGGGTGCCTTGTCATATAGGTGCTTAGGTGCCTGTCTAGGCGATAGAGATGAATTTTTAATAAAACGAACCCAGAACTTGCGTTAAATCTCTATGCAAAAAGAAACAATCGTCTAGAATTTAAACAAGCAATAAATCTTCAGTAAATAACAATGAAATCCGTATGAAAACATAGAAATATATAGGAAAATAGCATTTTTAAACAACTGGTTTCAACACTTGAACACACAATATTGTCAACTAGAGTTAAACTAAAGATTATGTGCAGTCAGTCTTCCTGTTCCGTCAGTTTCCCTCTCTTCACCTTTCTCTCAACAGCCTCCAGTCCTCGGTGAACAGTGAAACCACAAAAATCCTCGCATATTTATAAATAGATCAAGTGATTCAGTACATTGCTACACCATGCAATTGTGATACATCTGACTGCTTGACCTTGTGTAAAATAAATGATAGTAGTGACCTAGTAACTGACCGAATGATACTATTCAACCCGTGACTAGGCGTGTTGTGTATGCCTGATGGGCGAGTTCACATCTGCCCGCACGGAACGTCCCCCTAAAATGCCCCACATGCACATCTTAGTGTGCATTGAGAACATCTCCTGTATCTGTCATTGGGAGATGTTTCCAATACACGGTTGGGATGTACTGGGACGTTTTTGGGGCGCTTTCTGTGGGGGGATGATGTGAATTCCTGATGGGCTCGGCGAGCACCTTTTCTTTAAATTACTGCAAGAGTTGCAATTAGACAATCCCCCCAAAACGTCCTCGTTGCCTGGGCATCACGACCTTGTCAATTATGGGGGAAATGGTTCCTTGGGTTTTGGAATGCTCTACCAAATGTTGAAAATGTATGGTAGCTTACATATTTAACAGCAATTCATGTTCCAGAACTCATCTAGGTTGCACCTGCTTTATGCATGCTTTTCTTTTTTTCACTTAGCTTTTTCTGATAAGCTTTTAAAAAACAAACATGCAGGGCCAAGATCACGGGCGACACATTGGAAGCAGACAGTCCTCTACCTGGAGGACGTACTAACCATATGCGAAGGAGAGGCATTGGTTGGGAGCATGACTGTGGCGCCTAACAAGAAAAATCCTCGTGATGTTGATATAATGCTCAAGTATTCATTGAAAGGTCAGCGTTGCCAGGTCTCAAGAACTCAACATTATAAGATGCGCTGATTTCCTATCATCATCTTCACTTGGAAGGATTCTACGCATATATGGTTTTTAATTATTGACATCTGAGCTTTATTATTTTAGAAAGTAATCTTCCAATTTGGGGCCATGAGATTTTTTTTCTTTTGGTTATTTACTTAATGAGAAAGAGCAGTAAAGCTCAAATGTATCATTTTTGTAATTTGCTTTAGTAATTTAAAGACGAATGATAACGAAATGTAATGTTAAAAACTTAAAATTTCTTTTTTCCCTCTATAGTGTAGCACCTTTCTTAAATCACTTGTAGATGAAGTATTTTGTTCACTATTTCGTCCGTATTAACATCAAATGTCAATATCTGTTATGTAGGAAAGCTATGAATGTATGATGCCAATCAAAATATCCTGTGAATTTTTAACCTATCAAAAACCCGTGAATTTTTATTAATGCCAGTTTTACGATGTGTTTTACAACGTAAATGCTTTTTGTTTTCATTTATTTTTGAAATAGCCACATCAGCGTCAAAATAAAAACATGTTCTTGGACTCTGTTGGTATATTTTGTTTTTGTTTTGAAAGGCAATATCAAGTTGGTATATTTTGGAATCATCAAAATAATGGTTTTTAAAATAAAATTACTTTATAATATAAAATTGTATAATATTAAAAAAGCGGTTAAAAAAACTTTGTATTTTTCATTTAGCAAAATAATTTTATTTTTAAACTAAATGAGTTTGATTTGTTCTAGAACCAACCACCAGAAAAAACAGAGGTCGGATCTCCTGCCCACATCTTTCCTATTCACGCGTCTACACACGCCATAAATTTGGGACTCGTCCACTATTGCATGTGAATTCAATGGAATGTAACGGGACAGATTTTACGTCCATCCCGTCAGAATTTACCCATTAATCCAATTAATTTTTTAACCTAAAAATAATTAATCTTTCCTCTTCCCATGAACTCTAAATAGTCTTGTTATCTCCATTTCATTCTTCAGTGTACTATTTCAAGAAACTTCATTAGCATCCGGCAACCGGCAACCTGCGATGTATTCATTGGCATCTTATTCTCTTTATACTCCATCAGTTAACCTTTTATTCTCTATGACGTTCTGTTCCAAGAGATTTTCTAGCAACCGGCAACCAAGGAGATTATTGTGCCTGGTCAGAAGAAAATAAAAAATAAGTGAATCAAATAAAATAAACATATATAACTATAGCGAGAAGAACCTGGTTGGAACAACTATAAGAAAATAATGCTCAATTTTTTCTTGTATTGGTTGAGGTTACTTAACCATCGGTGTATTGGTGAGCACATCCTCGGTTGCCAGCTGTTGGTTGTTGGATGCCAGATGTCAGTGAAATCTCTTGGAACAGGGCGTTATGGAGAATAGAAGAAGGTTAATCAATGGAATACGGAGAGAATAAGATGCTGGTGAGCACATTGCCGGTTGCCAGATGCTGGTGAAGTTTCCTGGAACAGTACGTTGTGGAGAATGGAATGGAGAGCACAAGACTATTAGGGTTCTTGGGAAGGGAAAAGATTAATTATTTTTAGGTTAAAAACTTGATTGGGTTAATAGGTGAGTTCTGACGGGATGGATTTAATGTCAGCCGCATTACATAATTACATCCCATTGAATTCACATACAATTTCTGCACATGTGAAAAAAGAGGCACATGCTAGTGGACATGTGTCCAAAATTTATGGCGTGGGTGAGAAGCTGTGGGCAAGAGATCCGGACTGGAAAAACAAGGCCCCTTGGTGGTCACTGGTCACCACTTACACTTTAATGATACCGATGGGTAAAATCATATCATGCCTTGCCGGTATCATAGTTGGGTATATGCCTAAAAACCTAAATCAGAAGGCCCACGGGCTAGCTAACCAAGCCAGAATGTATGGCCGATCAATCTTGGACCCCTTCTTGATTGTGGGCCTTCCTGTATAATATTTGGAAAGTTCCTTTTTTCCTTAATACTGTGCCCATTACGTTAGTTTGAAATCCTTTCTTATTACCGCAACTCGAGTGAGACAGTATAAAGGTTCGTGCATGTAATAGCAGTGGAGTTTTACACTAGGCTTGAATTCCTATCTCATCTAATTGCTTAATGTAGCATATATAGGAAAAATAAGCCCGGACTTATTTGGTGAAGACAGAAGGCAATTGTTATATTGCAGCATAGTCTGCAGTTAAAAGCCCTACAAATTTGATGTCATATTTTCATTGAAGCAGTTATATAACCTGCTTCCTGCAATGCAGTCCAACAAGACTGCCAAGTCAACGACCATTGGCATGATGACTGTGCATTGCTTTTAGCCTTGCTCGCATTTTCAAATTTCAATCAAGCTGCTTTGGATTGATTTTGTTGGTAACATTGTTAGCGATTGATCTCCTTCAATGTTCAATCCAAAGCGACATCAGTTTCATATTACTTTTCCTTTTCTGCCGAGTACAATTTTGCTAAACAATAAAATATATGATGGTGTGAGCAAGTGGGCATGCTTTATATAGCTAATACAAGACCAAAATAAAAATAGAATGTTCACATTAGTCATATAACTAAATATTCCCTCCAACTTTGTCTAACTGGATTGATTTCTGCATACCTGAAGGCTGGAAGATATTCAAAGATGATTGTGCTTGTCACAAAGTCGGTCCCAACTCAAAAGATCAATCCCCATTATGGAAAATTTTCGTATAATTCTCTAAACAGATTTAATTTTACATTGCAACAGGAATTCTGACTTCCTACCCCAAAAAAAAATCTGACTTGAATTCTAAATCCTCTAACAGTGTAATTTATGTCAAGAAATAATTATATTTAATACTGAAAATGGAAAATTTTCCCAAAAAAAAAAAAGATCAGGAACGCTTGCAAGGAAGGGAGTTTTATACTCCTAAAGCTCAGCCTTGGCTTTTGAAGTTTTTTTCAGGGTGTGCTTTTTCTTCCCTCGCCACCATCTCCGTATCCGGAATGCCATCTTGTTTGCATGTGTTTTCAATGCTGCCCCTGCATCTGCAACTCCTTTCGTGATCCTCTGTTTCCAATCTGGTTTTGTGGTTTCTTTGGCCCTCAAGACTTTTCCCTGCAGGTCACCCAAAGAAACACATATTATCAAATTTAAATGCCTCTGATGTAGCTTTGGCAAAAGGCAGAGCAATAGCGGATATTCCATAACTGAAATCAATAAAATAAGGATTGTACTGATTGATATCATAATAGTTATAACAAAGAATTTGCCGGTACCAATTTAGAAGGAAAGTCTCCATCATCATCGTCCCCGTCATCATCTTCATTGACATCATCCCCAAAATTCTGCATTTTCAACAGATCTTCCTTTGAGTACATTTTCATGTTTGGTGCTCCTGGCATACCCTGTATGCATATTTCCAAAAAATGAAGTATGATTAATAGGGAAAAGAAAATCAAAACATTTAAGAAAGCATGCAAAGAGGAGCAATGAGGAGTTACCTCCATGGATCTCAATATTTTTTCCATTTCTGCCTCTTTGGATGACTTTGGAATAAAAGGTTCCCCTGGACTCCTATCCTGGATCACATGTATACAATTACTCATGAGTCTAAAAATTAGGAAATTCTCTCTCACTTCAACAGTTTGCAAACAACATATTCATAATGGAGAGATGGTGTCATTGAGTAAAAAAAAAAGCAACACCCCATGTTATAGAAAAACGGAAAAAATAAGTAGATTCCATCATAACCAGAACTGATCTATGCAGGGTTTCTACCAAGCTAAGTTTTGATAGTGCTCTTGAGCAATTCAGATTGCACTAAAGCAGGGTTTCTACCATATTCAGGACTACAAGAACAGGTTGCTCTGGTGGGGGATCTGAATTGAGGAGACTTCATAAATTGTCATAAGATGCATCACAGAGAAGTTTCAGTGGCCCTTGGAGGCTATTCCATCATATCAGAGAGGAGACTTCCTAAATTGTCATAGATCTCAGCAGTGACCCCCAGTTCCATTGGGTCTTGCAGTCAACAATTTCCCTAGCAGATAGGTTTGTACAGGAGTGGGAGTCTCAAGGACTGAGCTTAGTTGGGGCACCTCATTTCCAAGTTAATGATATGCCTGTTTGTGGGATACTAGGTAGCAAAGAAGCTGTTTTGTTTTACTTTAAACGGAATTCCTTTCCCTTTAAGTTTAAGAAAGTTGCAAATTTCCCAGCGTAATGTCTAATTAATTAGCTTTGAAGGTGTCAGGTCAATACTTCCAAAACCATAGGCAAGTTCTATGCTTAAGCATAACTTTAATGAGTGCTTGTGAATCAATATGGATTCCTGTAGGGGGTTTTTAAGTTTTTCACATATGGACAACAGACACTTGATGTTTCTACTTTTGTTTTCCCTGGTGAATTTAGGTTTGACTGATGACTCGTATTATAAAATATGGATGTTTGTAAATAGAAGGCATGGACCATGTGGATAGAAAGAGATAAAGTAGAACAGTATACATGTTGCAGAAGAGAGAAATCTCCCATTGAATATTGAGTTTGACAAAATGCATGAAAATGCACTGAATGACATGATTGCCAAGATAGATCAGAAAGACCTGGAGATTATCTAGATGTCTGCACTTGACAATCATCAACTCCTGAGCATTCATGTTGACTTTAGGTATAATGATATAATACTCAAGATTTGCAGCCTGATGATTTCTTCAGTTATATCTCTTAAACAAGAAGGCATCTATGCTGACCAGTTGTGTTAAGCTTTGCGAAAGTTCTTTTCTGTTTATTTGACTGCTTTCTATGTACCCTTTTGTAATTGTAAGCAAAAGATTATTGTTGAAACAGAAGAAAAGACCAACCCCAGGGCATTGACATCAAGGGGCAAGAAGCCAATAACATCAACTAATCAAGTAGTATAGCAGGAATGTTTCTCAAATCAGTGATGACCAAACGAGGACATCAACAAGCTTCTTTATTAAGGTATAAGTATCCCATTGAAGATTCACACTGGACAGGACAGCTCCCATATACAACCTTGCAAGAAAGCATCTATTGGTCCAAAGTCTTGGTGACACTTTCACTAGTGGTTAAGACCAACAGGACCTTCATGTAACTATGTGAGTTATCACACCACGAGAATTAAATCTATGCCAATTGTAATCAAATCCTAAGTAGTTCAAACCTGGGTAACGTCATGAAAAGGAACAGATAAATTATTAAATCCTACTGACAATAGATTTTCTAATGTGTCGTAAAACTGATTGAAGAGGACAATGTCGAAAGATGCAGTTGACATTACCTGATGACTGAACCCATGGCCTTAATAGTTAGAGATCATGCATAAATTAATTGATGCTAGCTTAAGTCTTAAATTATGCTTACCTTAGGAACCGGAGGTGGTTCAACTGCACATGCTTTTGTAAGGTCATTGCAGAGAAACTTTACCAATGAATCAATCGAAGGCTTTGCTTTAAAAAGATATTCCGCAACATCAGTGTCAGAATAACCCATAACCTGGAAAAAGTTTAAATAAAGGTTCAGTTATGTCACAAGAAAATGTATAGGACCTGATTGATTCACAATCTCAAAAGCTAAAGTTAAGGTCGTTGCATGGAAGTGCTAAGAAAATGCATTAAGACTCTGATAGAGCAATTCGAGGGATGATTCGATATTTTATTTCACAATTGGAAAATGAGGAAACGCATTGCAAGTATGTAACTTTTATCTCAAAGTTGTTACTCCTTGAAATACTCAAAACTATTAACTTCCTTGAACAGAAGATTTATTTTTTTCTTATTAGTGAACCACTACAAGAACTGAGGAATAAACATAAAAAAGTTCACCTCCTGGCAAGCTCGCTCGACTGTCTTACATTCTGAATTACATTGTCCTTCGGAATCTTGTTCAACAAGCTGGAGAAAAGGAGGTGCTAACATGAGAAACCACATGAAGAAACTAACATGTACGAAGATAGTCTAGCTATACTAAAAATATATGTCAGCTGTCCATAAAAGTTCCACAACTGAAAGGTAGGGAAGAAAATTCCTCTGAAATAAGAAACCCAAAAGACAATTTATTTTCCAAACACTCAGAACCCAAAAGATTGGTACGAAAAGGGGTAAAAAGCAGGGAAAGGCAAATATATCGTTCTTACCTCCAACCTATCCCCCTTCTCTACGATGTCAATTCGCAGAATCCAATCTGCTTCCTGCTTCTTCAAATTACAGACATTTTCTGATATGTCGATGATCTGGAGCTCCGAGACCTAGCCAATAAAGCAAAGATAAAAAGAAGGCAAAGGGAAAATCAGATCGAATGAGCGCGAGTCTTAGACCATTTAACAATGAATCAATTTAAATAAATATACACAGATATATCTGAATTAACGAATTCAGGAAAGACCAGAAAACCTTCTTGGGAGACATCTGGTCTTGTTTATTCTTGACTTGGTGGTATAGCTGATGAGCCAACTTTTCACAAACTTGACATTTGATGTAAGGTATGTCTTCTTTTCTGGCAACTGATACTGGTTTCTTAGCAGAATGAGAGATGGGCAACCATGACGATATTAGCAGAGCTGCTAGCAGAAAAACGAAGATGGATTCCGTCTTCGCCATTAATCTCTCGATCGAACTCCGCAGCGCTCTCTCTCCTTATCGATTTCGAAAAACACGAGATTTATACGAATAGAATACAGTGTCTTTTGTCAAGTTGCTACAGGAACAGCTACACGACGACGAGACCGGATCTGCTCCTCACATCGTGCGCCATTCCCATTGCATGGTGAGATGTACATGTGAGATCAGTGTGAGGCGTGCTGTAGAGGAGCAAATCCGGTCAGAGACTAGAGAGAACTCTGTATGAATTATGTGTTGGCCATGTTTGATTGGTTACACGCTGGTAGCTTATGCGGGTCCCTTCCCTATTAACCAATGAGAAGCGAAGGGTTACGTGGTTTACAGGAGCGGGGGTTACGTGGTGACGTGGTCCGCCCAGCTAGGCAGTGGGTTTGCTGTTTAGCTTCAGTCCCCACTGCACTGGTTGACTGGAAACGAGTCAAGGTCCTCAGTCTTCTGCAACTTCAAGGATCCTGGAGAACGCTGGGATTTTAAGAAATAGGTAAGGGTGTTTTGGTCAAAACATGTTATGAATGGAAGGCCAAACGGATCAGACCACCCTTGCCTCTGGCCTCTGGCCTTCGGGTTTGGGCTTAATTATTTATGAATATGAACAATGATTAGGTGACCCAGCGGGTGAGCCACCCGTGGTCTGACTCTTGACGTGCCACGTGCCCAAACTAATACCCACGTGGCAGTCCAAACCACTCATATGTAACGCTGACTTTTGCTGTCTGGATATGAAAGGAAGCTTGCTGACCGCATGAACTCTTGCTGTCACAATTCACAAGGTTGAGTTTGCCAATTGCCAGGGCCTCACGTCTTTGACCGCATATTATTAAAAAGCATATAAATAATTAATAATACTTTCAACTTTATGTGAAGAATAAACATGAGCATGACCCTTATGCTTGAATACGAGGAAGGTAGAGTTGGGGAAGATTTTGCAATTTTATGTGTGAAAAGGATTTGGGTTCTCAAAATCTAATTTGTTGTAGATTCGGGGCAAGTATAGATTGGGAGGTTTAGGGAGATAGATAGGGTCTAAAATTTATAAAACCCTCCGTCAACCCGTTCCATTTGTCACAGCCTCACTTAAGAGACTTAGTGATGAACTACTTTTAAGATGATATTGGAGCTGTTTAGTTTTCAATCTTTATTATTTCCATTATAATCAATTAAATTTCGGTATGAGGTATAGATGAATCTGTGCTTCTTCACTGTTTAAGCCCAATGGGCTTTAATATACGTAGGCATGTTAGAGAACAAAAGCTTATTCATGGATCCCACTTAGTAACTTAAGCTTTTAACTTAAATGATTTCTTGAGATGATATCATAGTTTATTTGACCAAGTGGTCTACTATTTCATCCTCATTACTTCAATTATAACTAATTAAAATTTCAGGCATAAGATATGGGTGAGCCTGTGCTAGGCTATGCTTCAAGCCCAATAACTTTTAAATGAAGGGGTGTATTTGAAAATAATAACTTATTCAAGCCCCTCACCAAACGGCTTAAACTTTTAGGTTGAATGGTTACAGGTTATTTGAGATTGTTTGGCTGGTTAATTGGGTCAGTAGTCTTGTAATGGAGCCAAAAAAGGGGTGAATCAAAATCTTCCACATCTTGCCATTTCTTGTTTTATCATCTCTTCATTCTGATCAGGTTGTTCATGATAGTTCTCTATTATTTAATGATAAGCTAACGCCATTCTCCATTGGCTATTAAACTGTAACGATCAAGGAGTGAAAGTATTTGATCATTATATCTCAAAAATCCATGCAAAACTAGTGCTTGATATGTCAACAGTGGACTATGAAGCTCCGAAGCCAGACAGCAATAAAGTTGAAGGTGATCTTCTGTTTTACATTGATAGCAAAGGTGAGGGTGATCCAGAGATAATCGACTCCATGGATGCTGCATTTTTATCTGCTCTCCACACAATGAAATTTAGAAAATGTCAAGTATCGCCTTCATGATTCTCAGAGAACCACCATTTAATCTAAAAGCTTAAGCAGTTAAGTGAGGTCCTTGAATAGGTTTTTATTCTCTAATATGTCCCCTCACATGAATGTCCATTGGGCTTGAAGTGTGAACAGCATAGGCCCACCCATACATTGTGCTGAAACTTAATTAATTATAATGGGGATGATGAGAAGTGAACACTAGACCACTTGGTCAAAGTGACTCATCTCGAAGAACCATTCAACTTAAAAGCTTAAGCTGTTAAGTGAGGTCATTGTTTGGAACCAGTGCTGTTTTCTTGAAAAAGGGAAAATTTCTGTTTGGTACCCTGTAATTTGGGCCTAGTGCCACTTTGCTCCTCAAACTTTAAAATGCGACAATTCAGTATCTGAACTTTCGAAACGTGCCACTTTGATCCTCAAATGAATTGACACGTTTTGAAAATTCCGGTACTGAATTGTCGCATTTTAAAGTTCTAGGACCAAAATGACACTAGGTCCAAAGTACAAGCTACTAATCGAGAATTTTCCCCTTTAGAAAGGGTGTCACATCAGCATCACGTCTGAAATCTGTTTTTTAAGACAATACTTGATTTAGTTATGACGTTTTTTCAAATCATGCTTGTAGAATATCATTAACCATGTATTGGATGGTGGACACCAAGTGACCAAGTGATGATCAGGAGGTAGCCGGCTCCTTAAAAGAGTCAACAACTATAGGTTCTGAATATTCCTATGATCTACAACACCATAATCCACCAGATTTTGTAACAAGTATCAAATAATCAGTTCCATGGCGGATGGATGCGAGTTCGAGAGTCAGCATAGAAGCTACAAGAAGATTCTTCGGCTGTTTCCTTTTGAGATTAATTTGTAAAACCCACCTCTGAAGTGATTTTCTCGTCTGTTGAATGCTGATGCAAGGTTAAAAATATGTATATGGATGACATATCGGCCTGTATTGAAGTTTTCCATTATTTTTTTTAGTTTTTTTTTTTCAAACTGGTTCAGGGGTTGTGTATAGGAGGGTCACTAACATGATACGTATCGATTAATACGCCATTATCCTTGTACCGATGATGTGTATAGGAGGGCCTGTATTGATGATGCGCAATCCGGTCGGTCCTAGCTGTCGGTTGCCTCGCCTCTGACGGAGTTGAAGGTGCCTGAAACAAGGAAGAAGCTGGAGATTTCCGGGGAGGAACCCGGTCGAAACACTCCGAAGCTCAAGTTAGTGCTCTAGAGAAGGCAAGGGAAATGAGAGACTTCAAGACCAAAAAGCACAAAAATCACATACCTCCTTCTTCGGGGGAAGGGGGCCTTTTATAGTCACCCTAGTACACTCACTACCATACCTCTGCCAGATCGGGTATCATCACCTTTGCCAGATCGGGTGTCATAGCCGCCACTGTCTTACCTGTCAGGGCCGTCTCTACAACGACTTGAGATGGCGGTAGCTGGTGGCCGTTGGAGTGCGACTGTCATGTGTCAGACCCCTAATTAGTCAGGCACGCCGCCTCAGAATACAGACTTCTTTGGTGTCAAGTACGGTTGTTCAGCCATGCGACCTGGAGCCGAAGTGCCTGAGTGGTGTGCGAGGTGAAGTCTTGAGTTCGGATAGAAGTGTGGCCCGAACTGCCCCGAGGTGGGTTAGCTCGGGTTTTTGCCCTTTGCGCTCCTTATAAGGCTCAGGGCCTCTAAGGGAGAGCTCGGGCTCCTCCTTGGGGAGCTCGGGTCGTGGGTTCCTTTTTGTGGGAGCTCGGGGCTCCTCTTCTTGGAGCTCGGGTCGTGGGCACGTTGTTGTGCCGAGTTGGCGCTCCTGCCAGGTCACTCTCGGTTGCTTCCATGTGTCACTTGGCCAAGGGGTCGGGCCAAATCTCCCTCCATCAGATGACTTATCGACCTGTATTGAAGTTTTCCATTCTTTTTTTTTTTAGTTTTTTTTTTCAAACTGGTTCAGGGGTTGTGTGTATAGGAGGGTAACTGACATGATACGTATCGATTAATACACCATTATCCTTGTACCGATGGTGTGGTTATGGAATGATCGAATGCGAAAAGAAAAAATGAACCAAGCTATTAAGGTTCTACTATATTGGATTATTTTCCTCTTTTATTCTTTTGTGTAAAAAGATATTAGTATCATGTAGTGTAGTAAGCTTATATACTTTTTTCAAGCAATTATTCATTCCAAAAGCTTAAGTTGTTAGATGAGGCCTTTAAATAGGTTTTTATTTTATAACATATCCTCTCCTGCAAAAATCCATTGGACTTGAAGTGTGCATAAGCATAGATCCACCCATATCTTGTATTGAAAGCTGAAATTTAATTAATTATAGTTTGGGGACAACAAGGATAAAACACTAAGCCACACTTGGTCAAATATGCACTAATACTATCTCAAGGAATCATTTATCCTAAAAACATAAGCTTTTAGGTGAGGTCCTTGAATATGTTTTTAATTTTTCTCTAACAACCATCATTATCAACATCATCATCTTTTTCTTCTTCTTTTGTTATGTGGGCCTGTATATGATATATACTTGGTTTCACCCTTAACCCTCTTTTGTCTTTACTTATGGCACAATACAATTTCTTTAGAGCCAAAATTGGGTAATGCATGATGGATTTTCACCCGTAATAGCTGTCGGAATATTTATTGTGTGCTTACTTAATGTATTAATCAATGTTTTAAAAATGACCCAGATATTGAACCTTTACCTCTGATGGGTCACTAGTTCGACCATACCGCATCAGCATATTTATTGTGTGTATGTGTGTGAACATGTATATTATCAATAAAATAGCATATAATTATTTTTACATGTAATATATGTATATATAAGTATTAAGCATGGGATCGATTAGGTTACTAGTTCCGTTTTGGCCTTGAACTGTTACTTTGCATAAAAAAAAAGAAAAGAAAACATTGAAATGGTCAGAGAACTATTGACTCGGGTAGTCAAACCACTAAACCATTCAACCTGAGCAAAGTGTAATAAAAAAAATATTTTTTAAATAAAAATTAAGAGAGAAAAGAAAAGATTGAGAGATGGGGGAGGGACTAAGACAAAACCTCAAATCTGAGCTCATTGAGATATGTGT